TTTCTGTGAAAATGGTATACAAAAGGGTAAACGGTTGGACCATGGGGCAGAGCCTCACCGTATAGAACTTTGTAGGGTCCCTTCCTCCCCCTGATCCCTGAGGTGGAGAAGACCCACCCCAACTTTTTTACTTCCACTGTTCTGCACACTATCACGAAAAAAAAAGTCATAGCCCATATTGCAGTAAGTTAGCAGAGGTAGAACAACTGGGATTTGAGCAGACCATCATCCACTAGGAAACTGGCAAATACAAAAGCATCGCTGGCCTGATAGTAAACTTTCTTCCTGTTTGTTTGTTCCCATATTGCTGTTTGTGTCCCCTTCCCACTCTACTGCCTTCTTGAGTTGCTTTGTGTGCCAGGGCCTGGAAACCAAAGCTATCGTTTTGAGTGGCCACTAAGTCTTCCAACATGGCGACCGGAGGAGCACCGTCTGCTCAATCTTCAGCGACAGAAGAAGACGCGACAGAACTACAATTTCCGAAAGGTTTGGAATAATCTTCGACGCTTTTACTTAACAAAAGAAAGGGTGCGAATGTTGAAAGTAAAAACTGAAGTGTCAGATGCTTTTATGTCCACAAAAAACAGGGACTTACTATTCACTGAGTTGAGAAGTCAAAACTATTGAGGGAAAAAAGCAGGAGGTGATGTCTTTTCAACCATTCACCGATGTCACAAATACGCTATTGTAACTGAACAAAGCTTAGATTCGAATTAAGTGTGCAAGTTGAGGCAGGTTTCAATGTTTGTTTTGTCTTAATCGGGTGGCGAAGTTGCCTGACAGACATATTGATCGACAAAAATATATTGTGAGATTGAATCCCCTTGACTAGTAGCAAGACTTAAGCGATATTTCTTACTACATGTTTTTACACTGAAAGTTTTCTTTGCTCTAACAGCTGGGCTCATCTGTACGGTGATCTAGAAACAAATGGGGCAGTAGAATATGTTGACGTTTCAACCAAAAGAGCATATGCTCTGAGCAGAAAAGTGACTGTGTTATCAAGGGAGGGACAGAACGGAGTGGTCTATCCAGGCCAGCTGATGTGAGATGGAAGATCAGGACAATCCAAGCAATATTAAATCTTAAATCCTCAAATTATCCCTAACCCTAGAACTAACTTAAATAAAGCCTGCACTAGCCAGTGTGACTCTGATTAGGGTCTGTTAGACTGATAATAAATTCACACCAACTTTTGTGCAGACCACTAAACCAGAGTAACCTGTACTTAGATTAATAAGAGTATTAAATCTTCTTTCAGAGTTTGAAAGTGCTGAAACTTTGTTGAACTCTGAGGTTTACATGTTGCTGGAACACAGAAAGACTCAGAATGAAGGAGCAGAGGAAGAACAAGAACTGTCGGAAGTCTTCATGAAAACATTAAACTATACACAGAAGTTTAGTCGATACAAGAACAGAGAAACCATTGCACAAGTGAGAAGGTAAAAAAATGTTGAATTACATAAAGCGGTAAGGTTCATATTCACTGAGTGTTGTGACAGACAAAGGAACATCTGAAAACATTTGCAAGTATTTTGCCTATGAATGAACACCTCTTTTTTGGAACACTTGCTGGATTAAACACTTGCCAGATTAAAGAGACAAAGAACAGCTTGCATGATAACTCAAGTAAGATTCACTGGTCCTGAGGGCACTTTCACTGGAATGGAACAAGGTCAATAAAGCGTTTTGGTCAAACTTTCTTGTTTTGTGTGGAAGTTAAGTTTCTATGTGTGTATGCTGCAATTTGCAGATTTTTGTGAGGAAAATGACTTTTTTAAGACCTAATTTGTTTTACAATGTAGAAAAAGTCTGCATTTTTGGTACAAATTCTAATAACAATACATTTGTGTAAATTTTGCTTTCGTTTAAAATACTGAGTGGAACCAATGGTTTCCCATCATCATTTGTCAATTGATGTTTCCCAAACCTCAAGCCATTATTTTAGGGATTCTTCAACTCTATTCTTAAAACTGAAAAAAACAAGAATTGGTTGTAGGGCTTGTTTTTTCTGAACATGTATCTCTTGTTGTAGTTTGCTTGGTAAGAAGAAACTCCATAAGTTTGAACTGGCGTGTTTGGCTAACTTATGTCCTGAGACAGCTGAGGAGGCCAAAGCTTTGATTCCAAGGTGAGACTCGTTCCTCATCACCATCAATTTACTCTTACTGCACATGGTTTGTCCCTTCTGAATCAATTACATGTATATTCATTTCGTTTGCAGCTTGGAGGGTAGATTTGAAGATGACGACCTTCAACAGTTACTTGATGATATTCAGACACATAGAAGTTTCCAGTACTAAACTCAGCACCATCCATATATTTGTTGAGAGCATTTCTTGGCCAAAATCAAGTCTGTGACATCAACTTGCAGCTGTTGTTATGCAAGGGTTCATCACGCCGGAAGAGTTTTAATATCCAAGTCAAGCTGTGACTTTCCTTATTTGAGAACTATGCAGTATTCTCATTCTCTGCATGAAAGCCAGAACATTTTTGTGACAATTAGTGTGTTATCCATCGTTAATAGTCTTCTTTTGTACAGACAGTGATGAATAGAATTTTTTTATCAGCATTGCTTCACATATTTTCATTTATTCTCCTTGAATTTCTTCAAGACATTTATTTTTATTTTTATCACATATCCTAAACTTTAAGAACAACACATTATGATCAAGATGGCATAAGCTATGTGTAGATAAAACTCATTGCTGAGGAAAAATGAGAAAGAGAGATGAAATAGACAAGACTTCTCCCATCATTACTAGAGAGTGTTGTTCCAGCTCTTTGTCAAGAAACTCTCATCCCAAAGTTAGAATTATTTTTGAGAAAAAAAAACCCTGTGATACCTGATTCTTTTCCTACGGTATAACAGTATGGTGACCAGTGAGTTAGTAACATATTTCAGCCAATCATTGTTGAGCATTACAGTGTCGATTCAAGAGGTCCTGAAAGTAGAGGGGTCTGATCAATGTGAAGATGGGCCTTTCTTGTTCCAGTAAGGAAAATTTTCTGGTGTAGGTATTTGTGTGAGATGGGGAAGAGAGTTTAGGGGAGTTGAGTTGCACCTAGACTAGCTACTGGCTTGTGGACCTAATAAAGTTTGAATGTCTTGTCTCTTTCTGTAGTGTTCAGGGGTATTATTCTTAAGCTGCCCTTTGCTTCCATTCAGTAGTCACACATCAAACAAGTAACAGCTGGTGAAAACAAGAACAATTTGTTTTACTAGTTACAAGAGCTGCATGTTCATGATCAAAGAGACTCAAGCTAGAAGAAAAAAGAAAGCGAGCAGACAAAATTTCTGTAGGATGATAAGAGACTAGGCAAGGCTAGAGACGAGGCAAGGCTAGCAGTAGTAATATATTTTTAAGCTGCTGACCAATTTGGTTGACAGACAGACAGACAGACACAGACAGACAGACAGACACAGACACACACAGACAGACAGAAAGACTGATGGATAGTCACTTTTTTCCGATGGGAGAGGGTATCAGGTAAGCCATAGAGAGAGCAAATGTATTGACCACTTGTGTCTGGAAAAATTTGAACCACAGTAGACACAAACCATCCATAAATTTGCTTTATTTTATGTACGCCGTAAAGCTATTAAAATTTGCGCCTGTTGACGCGCGTCAAATAACGTAACTGGAAATTCACCCAAGCGGCTTCCCAGCTAATCGGCTACACAGTTGCCAGAGTGTCAATGGATAAGACCTCATTTCTCAAATGAAAGATATTTGTTTGGGGCTGGCTAACCTGGATTCCCAAGTAAAAAGGGCGGGGGAAAAGAGGTCAAGGTCTTGAAAAATTAACAGATTGACCACCATAAGAGGGAATTATATTTTATTTTTGCCCATAAGCTTATCACGTGATCTTGTCTATCTTATATTCCTCCAATCCACTTCGGCAAAGCTCTTGGGGATGTGTATGCGTTGGAAGTGTCGGGGACGACTGGGTATAGGAATTTGCCATCCGTTGTTTAAAGCATTGTTGGCCGACATAATGGCTCCCTCTGCGTACCCCCGGTAGGGATGATATGCGCTACCAACAACATAGATCTGCTCTCCAGGGAATGGCCTTTTGGCCCAGTCAGTGACTTGCTTCATGGAAACACGGCTCCCAGGCTTCTGTAGGTACCTTAAGAGGAAGCAAAAACATTGGCTACTTTTCAATATCATTCTTAGGAATTTTAAGAGATTCACTTGAGATTCGTAAACATATGGAACTGAAAGTATAAATGTCAGCTGAAACCTTGATTTTATATTTAGTTCGATTCAGGCCCCGTCCACACTACGCTGGAGGAATTTGAAAACGGAGTTTTCATTCTGAAAACACATCAAATGTTTTCCGTCCACACTAGGCCGGAGAAATGTGAATACGCAATAATCACCGGTCAATTTGGATTTGTGTTTGAGGAAAACTCGAGCAGGGAAATCCTATGACTGTCGTGGAAAAGCTCCGTTTTCAAAATGTTTTCTGACAACACTGAAACGCAAAGCCGGCGTTTTCAAATTTCTCCGGTTTGAAGAGCGTTTTCGAAAAGCTCCTTTTTCGTGACGGATTAGTATGGACTGCAGGTCTAACACTAGAAATAAAGCTGCGTTTTCAAATTCCTCCGACGTAATGTAGACGGGGGTGCAGAATGGGTATATATGAGCAGTTGTAACTAAGCAATAGCTTGAAAAGTGGTGAAGTTTGCAACACGAGAGACTGTGATAATAATATTTAGGAAAACAGTTGATTACCAAGCTCCTTCGTCCCAGTATTGATAGACTGTGCTCAGAGGTTGAGGAATTTTCCGGTTAAACTTGTATTCCAAAGCGCGATGAATTTCTTGATCCATAATATGTTTAGGTAACTTGAGGATCTCGCCCCATTTCTCGCCACACGCGCCATCTTTGTACGACACGTGGAGAACTGCTTCGCCATTTTGGCCACGCCCACTAACATAAAAGAAAAGTGGTTTTGTTTAATTTATACATGAAAGGGTATTGATAGAAAGTGCCAGTTCTTGTTCTTGCAATTTATTGTTATTAATTAGTAACGGAGCGAAATAACAGATTTTTCGTCGTCAGGTTTTACCCGCTGTTAAAAAAAATGTTAGTTCAATTCAGGGGAAGGCAACTTCCGTCTTCTTCTGCGCATGAAAGGGATAAATTAAAGAGTTAAGGGAATCACCTGTGAGGTAACGACCATCCAAGGCAATCGCTGTTTGACAAGAACCTCTCCATGGGGTGAAGTTTGTCTTTCGGATCCATAATTTCGTCCCACCACGCCCTGGGATAGACCGCTGCTCCTTTGAAGGCCGGCCGTGGAAGAATGGACTGAAAAGCGTTCTCGCGCTGAATTCGTTCAGCCACGCTACCAGAGACTTTTCCGAACGAGCCAGGAGGCGCTGCAATCACAAGCTTGTCCACTTTAACCTCATGCTTTGGAGTCTTGAGAACAAACTGGTTTGCCTGTTTGTTCATTGAAAGAACCTTGTTGTCGCCACCCAAGAATATCTTCGCTCCCAGGCTCTTAGCGGATTTGGCCACGGCATCCACGAACGCGGACATTCCTTTGAGAGGTCGGATCTCTTTGCCGGAGAGTTTAGCTAGTTGTTCGTAGTATTCCACCACGCCTTCTGGGCTGCCCTTGAGGTCGCCGTCGTAGCCGAAGACGTCAAAGTAAAACCTGGAACCTTCCGGCGTCAGAAAGTGGTGCTGAAATGTTTCAAACGTCGCGAAGTTGTGCATTTGGGCGCGGTGTTCTTTCTTGAGGAGAAAGTCTAGCATCTGTGAGCAAGTCATGTCTTTGAATTTACCCAGAGTCAAAGCCGGAAAGTATTTTCGTTTGATTTCATGTTGGTCTCGTGAAAAACCACCCCTGCACTCTGTCCGAGGATTCGAGTAAAAGTTCCATTCTTTGTGAGGAATGTTAAGCCTTGAGAGGATATTCCTGAAAAAATAAAGCACCAAATTATATTTTATACTCCATTAGTTTGCTCCTGTTAGCGGACTAGTCAGTAATGGCTTTTTTAACCAATGAAAAACCATTGCAAGCCTCTTCCTTCTAACCAACGAAACCGCTCTCTGTCAAAACTATCTCGAAACTAAATATAGAACATAGCGTGAAATTAGAAACATAAATTTTAAAAATTATCCGTCGTGGTTCACGTTCTCCAGACAACGCAGAATTTGGTCATTTCACGTTGTTTTGCAGACGAGGGCATAGAAATGTGCCAAGAATTATAACGCACGCGCATAGCCATATTGTACTGCTCATAAATAAACATTTTGTTTAGCGACGTTGCCGTTGCCGTTGTGGTTTTCTTAATTTAACTCCCATTCGCGATTTCGCATTCAGTAAGTACAACAAGGAACAACAATTTCATATATTCGAAGACTCAAGAAACCTTTCAAATATCGTTCTTTATTTGTAACCCTTCGTTTTTGGAGCGCCTCTAGATATGTATATATTGCGCATGGGACAATTTCGGCTCAAAAGGAGTACAATTGTTACCTCATGTTGTAATGAACCATGTCAACCCTCCAAGCTCCAAGACCTGAACATCAAGCAAAATAATTCACATTAAACACCCTCTTGATTAAAAGAGTGGCTCCTGTAATCGCCAAATTCTGGAGTGCCGTATATACTGTTTGTGATTGGACAATTGTGACTTCAATCGAATACATTTCAGGTGGTTTATCGAGTTGTGCCGAAAGCAGCTATCGTATCTCCCAATTGAAAAACTTGAGCTTTTATACTCCTTCCAATGCCACAAAAATTATCTTAAAGAAGAAACTGGCGTAGTGTAAGTGGTTGTTGAGCTCTAAGTCGTTGTGCTACTGTGTTCTCATGGGCAGCGTATTTTACTCTCAAAGTATCTGTCTTCACACAGAAATATAAATGGCTAGCTGCAATTTGTGGGGGCCACCTGAAAAATACCAGGGTGGAGGGGGTTAACCCACGATGGACTAGCATTCCATCCAGGGCCGGGGGAGGAGAAAGACTCCTCGAGACCTCTGATACTACAGAAACTGGAGTAAGCTGTGGAGGTTATGAGGTTCGCATTCCATGCCATCGGCCAAGGAACAGGTAAAACCCCTTTTTGGTTTCACAAAGTTTTATACTAATGAAAGAAGCTTCATCTTATTCACACAACGCGTCCAAACTAATATATTTATTATCTCCATCGGAACCTCATGGAGAAACTTCGTCCTTGCTTACCGCAGAGAGAGACTGTAAAGACTTATAACTGCAGAAAAGTGTCACTTTAAAAGTTATTCCACCAACCTACTGATTCATCAGGCACTTGAGGAAAGACATAATCGTAGATTCTTCCACCAAGGCGAGTATCTCTTTCAAAAACACACACTTTGGTCTCTTTCTTATGTCTCAGGAGTGATTCAGCCATATACAGCCCAGCAAGCCCTCCACCGACAATACCTACGTCACAATCCATTGGGGTCTCGCCATCCCCACCCCCACCCCCTCCTCCGCCATCACCTGTTCAATTTGAGAAATACAAGATACATCAAATGATCGAGGCACGACGCAAGAATTTGATAAGGTTTGTCGGACGTTTTCAATTTGGCAGAACAACTTTGCGCATGTGTTGCCTACAAGAGGACTCTTTTTGTCACTTCCGTGCACACATATAGTAATTTTTGACAAAACTGGACCATTATATTTAGTTTTCTATCAATCAAAATCTTTGGGGCTCTTAATTTTAGGTTTTGACTTTTCGAAGTAATCCTCATATCATGATACAATAATGGTGTTTTTTTCTAGTCGTTTTTTTCCTGTGAGGTGGAATGTAAGCGTGAGGCGAACTCAGATCTCCCAGCGTCAAACCGAGTAAGATCTGGGTACTAGATAGATATATAGACAGCTATCATAACGAGCTATGGCAGTAAAGAAATAAAGTTAAGTTTTTGTGGAAAGTATTATTAAACGATCACTTTTATTCCACAAACAACTACTGCAAAATTAAACTATCAACACTTACAAAGTCCGCAAGTCTTCTGACAAGCCTGCTTGATGCTAAAGTTAGTAGCACATAATCCCTTGTAATGTTTGCAAAATGTCGAGCCATTCCGGTCCTTGCATTCTGAAGAGCAAGAGGCTAACATGAAGAGTAATAAAAAAGACGGCGAGGGTCAGTGTCATACTTAAGTCCTCACCCGAAATGAAAATCATGTCTCTGTAAACTTGATTGACCTCCCTCTATAACCCTCTCTCCCTTATGGAACTGGAACGGCCGGTCCAGATCGAGAAATCAAACAACACACGCACAGAAAAAAAAAAGGAAACAAGAAACAAAAACTTCAATGTGTGGTGTACTACCAAGTCATTAGTTTCCCAGAACTGAAGTTTTTTTGTACGAGACTTTGCCATTTTATTGGCTGAAGACGTTCACAAGGTTTATAAGGCTTCAGAAACAAAGTCGAATGTATTCAAGAGAGCAAGTGTATTCAAGTGTTTTTGTGGGTCGAGCAATGAAAGACGATCTGATTGTTGTATTGGGCAATTTTAGACGCTTTTGTTCTGAACACTGAACTATATATGCTAAAATTAAACTGATTTTTAAAATTCCCAAATGGTTTTTTAAGTATTTTTTTCGTTGCCAAAATTGAGCCGATTGAATGAAAGCGTCAGCCCTTAAAATTACCGGCCACTAAAAACAAGCAGTCCACACTCTTTACTTTCAAATTATAACGCTTTTAAAATACATGTGGTACCCCGCTTACGAACACCTCGCAATTGCATGTAGCCATTTTTCTGACTTTCAAGTTTTGCGCAAAGAAATGCTTGATCAGTCATTTAATCACCCCGTTAACATGACTGCAGTCGTACGGCACAGAGGTGGTTGTATTGATTGGGCTCCACTCTTACAAGAGCAATAACTGAAAGTAAAATACCGTGCGATCATGAAAAGTTACATGAAAGTTACAATCTCAACTCTCGAATCGTTGGAAAGAAGCGGTGGGTTAGGCCTTTCAAATTTTGCATTTCGACCTGATTGATAATCAAAACTTTAAAAAGGATCAAATAGGAAGAAGTTTACCTTGAGAGAATGCAATTCCGATTAAGGCAAGAATGATCCCAAGGCACGCCTTCCTCATTTCGATCGGCAGCAGAAACAGAAAGTGACTGCTTGATGCTAACACGGAACAACGTCCCACCTTGTGTCAGTACACATGCAGCAGCTGAACATTAGGCAGTGTCTTCACTTGATAAATAACGTAACCGCGTGTATTTGGCTAAGCGCAACACATGTTTGTCGTTAAGACATTCCATGGGAGTTACACGACAAGCCTTGTCGGCCAAGAAACCCCACTGAATAAACGCAGTGTTACCGCGTGTCTTGCCGCGTGGGCGAAGTTTACGCAGATGTTCAAAGGAAACTAACGGAAAAGGTGTGCTTCTAAGTATAGGTTACCTTCGAATGCGTCTACCAGAGAAAATAATAAAAATATCGTAAAATTGCTTTGGGAAAAGTCTTTCTCCAAGTATAGGTTGCCTTCAAGTGCGTCTACTAGAGAAAATAATAAAAATATCGTAAAAGAATCTTTTTCTCCCTCGATTTCTTGTCAGTAGCAACTACTTTATACACCAGGAGGAGGATGATAAAGAGAGGGCCTAGATCACGTTTCACGGAAAATAAAAATGGTCATTTCACAGTTCTTGAAATAGCCATTTCACGTTCAGGAAAAAAGGGCATATTTTTCATACGAGTTTACAAAATTATAATGAGCTTTTGAAACTTACAGTCCAAAGCACAGCATTGTTCAACATCTTCGCCATTTCTTCACATCTTTTCTTTTTGTATAATGCAGCTAAAGGAAAACCGTGTTCCAACTAAGACTATTGCATAAGGATCGCAGAGATGGCTTTCACGGTTAAACAGTGTTTATCACGTAATGTCGGCCGCCGAAAATACCAGAAAACATAACCAAAGTAACAGTTCACAACGAAATGATTCCACGTTTATTTCTCATTTCACGGTTCTGTCACGGCTACTAACGAATTCACGATTCACGAGAAAAAAGTAGCCATGTCACATATCATTTCACGGGGAAAAAATAAAAAGCAAATGTCTTTACTGGCTAGCCGGTGTTAAGAATAACTTCATAAAACTTAATTATGCACAATTATTATGATTTAGGTCGGCCAGCACGGCGAAGTCGGGAAAATTCGTATCTAACGGTAAGGAGAAAAAAAAACAACAAACTTCTGACTTTTTTTGTAACGTAACGAAGGCGGCTGGCCTAGTGTATTTGGTTTTTGGAGTCCCCAAATTCAACTAGTCCACTTTTTGTAAATAGACAAATAGCAATCTGGTTAGCCTGCCATCAGTTCAATTTTTTTACATAATTTTTTACCTATTTACAGGATATTTTTTGTATACTACATGCAGTATTTTATGTCTCCAATTAACACAACAGTGCATTTATTTTGTCAGATCATGGCCAAGTCGGAAACTAATCGAGAGAAATGAATGTCTAAGTATAATAGATAGGAGACAGGGTTCATTCGGACACATATCACATATATATAGATTTGGCATGTAACGAGAATTTTAAGTTTCCTTTGTCATTCTCTTCTTTTGTCCTTCAGTCCGAAAGTCCAGTCCAATTTTGAGTAAAAGAGTTTATGAATCTCTTTTACTTCTCTGCTCCTTAAAGAAATTCGCTAATCACTGTGACATTTTTAGGACCATTTCTATTAGAAACGCAGTCAACTCGAAGGTTTTCATATAAAAATGTCTCAAGTATTGAAAATTCACCATCATTTGCAAGGAGCGCGTTGGTGGTATAGTGGTTAGCATAGCTGCCTTCCAAGCAGTTGACCCGGGTTCGATTCCCGGCCAACGCACATTCCGTTTTCATGTTTTTTTCAATTCTTTTAACTCGTCTGTTTTCCCCTAGCTTGAGTTTTGTTTTGTTTTCTATGTGTGTGCTCCCCTTTTGAAAATCAAAACCGAGGCACGAAACTATTCGTTAAGTTTTAAACTTTTATATTATTTCAACTTGAAAATGTCTAAGTTCGTGCGTTGGGAAGCGAATCATTTGGTGCGTTTTCAGTTTCCTTGTATTTTAATGTACGAATATCCAGAATTATCCTCTCTTACTATCATTTTGGTGCTGCATTTCGCTTTGTATAACAGGTATAACTTAAAGCCTTCTACTGACGAACGTTCGAATTCGTGGTCGGCGGAGGTCGGGGGAGAAATATAACATATAAAATATTAAAATTTGCAAGACTTTTCACAAACTGAGATAATGCAAAATTTTAACTAGTTAAGAACAGCTCAAACTGTTTCTTGTAGATTTATAATTAATTTTACGTGACTCTTTCATAAAAGTGATCCTGACATTTTGAGGAAAGGGGTCGTACTAGTGCCCAGTCTTCCCTTATGCACTCGGTCGTTCCCTTTAGCTTCAGGAGACAGTAATAAGAAAAAAAAACTTGAACATTTTGGAACTTTTTTCAAACAGAGTTAAAATTCGGGCACTTTTACTCGTACCCTCAGAAAGCAGTGAAAAGCGCAAATATTTCAAGGCCCCAGGGGCGTAGCGGCCATAGCCAGGATTTTTCAAAGGGGGGTGTGTTAACGTGAGGGTACTCACTAGATTGTCATGTCGTTTTTGCCACCTGTTGTAGGTTGTTTGCTCAAAAAAGGCTTAGAAAAGGGGGGTCATGGGCATCTCGGGGCACCCCCTAGCTACGGCTGTGGGTAGCATAGAATTAAATTTCAACTACTTGAGGAGAACGGAACCTTGAACACGTGTTTCTCAAGAACAACGCGCCGAAACTTTCTCATGCGAAAGCTGAAATAACGGCTTCCTTACGGACTATCAAATTTTCCAGACACATTTAAGCACGACGCGTAAACTAAAATTATTCTCACAATTGGTCAGATTCTTCCACTGGAGGTCAGAACCTGGGCAATATACTGTAAATACCTCTGGGATTGAATCCAAGAGCTCTTCGAGCCTACTTCTGAATACAAAGGCCTTTGCCTGATTGAATTCTTACTGATTTAAGTCATTTGAAATTCAAGAAGTGAAACGAAATGTATTCCTTGCCTTGTTTCTCTGCACTGTTGACAGGTGCTGTTGCTCTTCGTGGGCGAAGAGCTTGAAACAAGGATTCCAAGGGGTATCCGGTTACTTTGCCCCATGGTCATTTAACCCCCAGTCACTTCACCCCAACCAAAAGTCACTTCGCTCCATAATCAAAGTCACTTTGCTTTATACAAGAGTTACTTCGCTCCATACAGAAGTTGCTTCGCTCCATGTAAGAAATTAGTGAAATTTATTGTGAACTTTTTGTTTTGATGTTGGAGTTGGACTGATTTTGAACCGATATCAGTTCAACTTATTAACTAATGCAGCTTCCAGTCATGTTCGCTTACGCTCATTTCTTACATGGAACTTGATGGTTGGGTAGCTTTAGAAGCAAGCGTTCTTGTACAAACACTTGGCATTCTGGCCACGCGAAAATTGGTCTAGAGCAAAAAGTATCGACAAAGTGATCTCTGACTCCGTCTTTTTTTATTTTTACTCTCGCCCCTAGTTTCGCGCGATCTGTTCCTTAAACTCAGAGAAATAATCAAATACAAGTTTTACTTTTCTTACCATCCAGTTGTATTTTGTTTTGTGGTTTAACATACACAACTCTAGATATATAAAGCTCTTACAAAGAGTAATGTGTGTTCGCTCATTTGAACACAATTCTATTCTAATCTATTCCCTACAATAACTGGATACATTTTGCACCGATTAAGTTGATAACTTCGATAAAATCGATAAGAATAATTTAAAAATCAATAATACTCACAGAGTATCCCTTCATAAATTTCCGATACAAGTTATTAATTTCAATCGATATTTATCGATAATCGATTTTATCAATTCAACACACCGGCACCAATGACACGAGGCAGCCCAAAGGGCCTTTGATTCCATTGAGCCTTTCATTTGATTCATGCTGCATTCATTCCTTCGTCATTGAACAGCACTTTTTGAATCTTTTTTGGCATTTTTTGATAAATTGACTCAGGAATTTTCACATAAAGCTGAGAGTCAGCATCAAACATTGCGTCACGACCCAGGTATCCATACTCTACTTCAAGAAAAGTCTCCAAACAGTTCGGCCCTTGAACACAAACACCTTCAAATTTGTAAGTCTTCAGTGGTAACACACATGACTTTGGAAATCGCTTTCTTCTAAAATCGTACTTTCCAGGAATATTCCAGTTGTAACAAAAGCACGTAGGATCATCAGGATGTTGTCCAAACGTAAACACATCTAAATGAGCCAGACTTGGATCAAACAGCAGATCGCGTCGAATTCCAAATTCATCCCACAGTTTTCTAGTAGCATAGCATTTCAGCCGTTTACCACCACATCCACTGTAGGAGATTTCGCTTCCATCTTCATCAAACCAACTTGTTCCGTTCAAAGGACATTTGTCTGACAGGCTGATGTATCCATTGTGTATGGCGGGTAAGGAAGAAAGATTCTGTACAACCCTAGAAAAGTCCGACTCAAAAATAGCAATGTCAACATCCCCATCATGACGAATCATTTTTCCCCCTTCCCTGTAAACTGACAGAGCAGTGCCACCACAAACAAAGTACTGAATGTTCATTCTGCTCAGAAACTCTGTAACTTCTTTAAGCACATAAATACAAAGAGGTTTAAATGTCTTGTTTCTTCCCAGCTTGGTTCTGAAGTTTCCAAGGGTACAGCCATTCCACATGTCAAAACTAATAGACTTGGGTGTTATAACTTCACTTGGAGAAGTACAGGTATCCGGCATTTCTTGCTTTGCTGCCATGAAAGTGTCACAGTCTTGACAAATAGACAAGTAATCATCCTCACAAGAAGCCATAATTCTGTGAACATTTTTAAAAACAGATCATGTGGTAAGAATTAAATATTTGTCATTATTTGATGAAACCAAGCCAATCACCTGCAAAGTTTTTATTCTACCCTATGATTTTCTTCTTCTTTCCATTTTAAGGCAAAAAGAGGTAATTTTCTGTGCTATGAGAGGAAGACCTTGAAAGCTTGTACATTTGTGTGTGCACAAATTGCTGTGCATACATGAATGGCGCTCTACCAACAATCACACAAAAACCAAAACTTTTAAGCTTGATGGGCAACAAAATTCCCCTAGGTATGGGACTCCACTTAAGTGCGCACGCACTCTGCTAAAATTTACAGCATTTTCTGTAATAAAGTCAACTCACCTCAATACTTTGTTTCAATTGCTTTTGGCTGCCAGCTTATCAGCCGGATTCAAAGTGATTCTAGTGAGTTTTCTGTCTTCCTGTTCCCTCTACTTTTAGTGTAAAGGTGTGATCTCCAAGCTTTGCTTTGAGTTCTCGGAGTGCATATGGAAGACGTTTTTACCTGCGAACAACATAATTGTGGAATAAGAGCAGTACAAACAAATTTCAAAACAACACAAAGGCAGATGGAATGAAATAGAGCAGTGGACTACAAGAAGCCCCTCTTTCACTCAGTCCGTTGAGCTTGACCAAAAATAAGCCACGAGAGAAAATGGCAGTGCGAAATCCTCTTGCACACTTCTTATGTTTCTTCGTGTCACGTAAGATGGACTAAGTGAGAGAGAGACGACTCACAGTCTAATGGAGCAGAAGATGATTAGAAGAGGAGGGGGACATGGGGATTTGCGGTGTTGTGATGTTGATGTTTTTTTAATGCGGTGATGTGGTGAATAAAATGTCAACTTGCGGTGTTGCGGTGATCTCAAACCCTACGGTGCGCGATGTTTGTGTTTTTCACGCTGCAATGTTCGGTGAAATGAAATTGCTTGCGGTGCTGGGGTTTTCTGATTTACCTTTCCCAAACCTAAATTTGA